AGATTCGACTAGTCAATGGACCCTCCTCTCCAGGTCCTCTGAAAAGACCTTACCAGGGAGGCTTAAGAGTGTGACCCCCCTGTAATTGGAGCACACCCTCCGGTCCCCCTTTTTAAACAGGGGGACCACCACCCCAGTCTGCCAATCCAGGGGTACTGCCCCCTTTTAACTATTACTTTATGAAAATAAAGGTCTATTAAAATTATTGACACATATTTGAAATTTTACATTTTATGTAAAAAAATTAAATTGMAATTTAAAAACTGAGCAATGAAATCTAATGTAAGTTCTCTCTACATCCTAATTATTTATGACTGTAAAATAGATGTTTTCATTACAATTTATTGTAATAAAATCAGAGAAAAAATAATTTACTTCAACTCGAAGTTATTAAAGCAAATCTTTCTTTCTTTGCCATGTTTTAGATTAGAACGAGCCATTTTAACAACTTTTCCATCTGTGATGGATACAAAACTGACCGCTTTTCCTTTCTTTGCAACTTGTCCCAAATCTGCTTAAAATGTTCACATTTTTGTTGAATTTTGGGGAAAAAATCCCAAGTATGGCTGTAAGCTGAAATTACTGCAGTGGCTAACAAACTACTTGTCCAAAGTGAATTAAATATTGCATGATATTGTATAATTCTTTTCCACAGATGTGTTAATTTTATTACCATTCATATAGATAAAAAAATCTGAAACAAGACTTTTTAAATGTGATAAATGCAAACCTCAATTTCTTCGGATGTTGTGTAAAATGTAAAAAAGAAAAAAAAAGAAAGAAAAAAATTGCAACTACTTTAAAATTTTGCAAACCCAAACCAAACTATAATTTTGAATTTTATGGGTGCAAATGTAAAGTTGCACTTAGTAAACTTTAAACTTAGTAAAGTTGGACAGGATCATGTTTGGCACTGTGAATCATCCCCTCTTTTTTAACAACAAGCTGTAAACATCTAGGAGCTGAGGAGACCAGTGTGTGTGTGGGCTGGTTTTATACAGGGGAGTAAATTTTGACAGTTTTTTWAAGGTACAACCACAAAAGGTTTCAACCCCCCTGTAAATTGCGCGGAGCATGGAACAGCATGGAGCTGTTTACTCACCGGGGTCAGAAGAGGAAAAACTTGCTAATTAACAACCATTTTCTGCTCTGGTCTGGGAGCAGATTGTTTTTCCAGGAACACACAGAACTGGAAACTTCCGCTGCTCGTCCTCCGCAGCGCTGCAGCAAAAAGTTTCTCCACCAGAGGGCGCAGCACAAAGGATGAAAAATCCTGAAGTCTGTCATAAATGAGTGGTGGCTTCRTAAATGATTATTAGGTTTTTTATGCTTCTGAAGCTCAAAAAATTATGATCGTATTATACTTGAGATTGTATTATACGTGAATAAATACTGTGTTTGCGGTCACCCATTACAGTCAAAGTTACATCGCGCTTCGTAAACCAGGCTGGAGCAGCAGCAGCTTTGCACAGGTGATTCATTTGCAGTGGTCTCCTCTCGGCTGACTTCAACCAGGGGCTGAACGAGGCTTCAGTGAGTTGGACTGCTTTAGAAAGGGGGAGGGGCACTACTCGCTGAGGATAGTGCTCGGAAGTTGTAGTTGCCAAGGCCTCCAAAGGTCACCAAGAACACAAGGAAAAGGCACTAGATTTGTTGCTAGTCTCTATTCGTAAAAAAGTTATTAGAGGGATCTCAAAATTTGCCAAATGTAGTGACAAAGTCGCTAGTGGCAACACTGAGTGTCTGCACCAGCCCCAAGCTGGAGTGGACCGGTCTGGAAGCCGGAGGGGGGCGGGGCTTGAAGGGCCTTAAAGGTGCAGTATCAAATCCAGCTGCTTTGAGGCACATTTCAGAAAAGTGGTGGAAGAGGGGCCGATAAAGTTAAAATAAGGAGGAATTCAGACCAAAGTAATGTTGTTTCATTTTATAAAGACCTCAACTGAATGATTTAAATGTGAGAAGGAAGGATTCAAAAGCAGGATATGTCTACTTTAATGSCATCATTTTAAATCTGACCCCATAAAAATGTACAGTTACAATTTCAATATTCCATTGTGATTTACATTTGGGCTTATAAACTTAGCAAATTATTGCATTTTCTTTTATAAACATTTTAAACGATGTCCCAACATTTTGAAATTGGGGATATTTTAATTTTAGTTTTGGTCAAAGCTTTGAAGAGCTACTGCAGTGGGACCAAAATGCCAAATGTATACCCTAGCCTGTATTAAAGTTTGTGCTGTCAGTTGTCTTTACACAAAAAAGTTGGTTTTCCATAAAAAGTTCTAACCAGAGACTTGTACTAAATCATTATTTGATGTATTATTTTTATTAGGTTCTGTCTGAAATTCATCACATTCTCAGGCTGCACACCTGTTTGCACTGCAGTTTGACCTGGCTGTTTGTTGCCAATTGGACCACAAATCAACCACAGATGGGTTTGTGGGTCAAGGTGGGATGGTGGGGGGAGTGCTCTGTAAAAAAAAAAAGAGACCAAGGCTGCTTTTGGTTGAATGAATGGTATGTTTTGGACATGAAATGGTTAGTCTCTGTCCAGGTTTGTCTCTGATCTAACCATCTCAAGTCATACATGATTTCTTCCCTTACATCCATCTGCTCCCATGCTGACAGACATGCTCACTGTGTAGGCAAAATGACATCAGCAGTCAGTCTGCATTACAGCAAGGGATCTGACCCTAAAGAATTATAATTTTTTTAACTGAGAGAAATAAAAACACTGAACAGAAATATAAATGCAACACTTTTGTTTTTGCTCCCATTTTTCATGAGTTGAACTCAAAGATCCAATGAAACATTTTCTATCTACACAAAACAATAATTTCTCTCAAATATTGTTCATAAACCTGTGGTTAGTGAGCACTTCTCCTTTGCATAGATAATCCATCCCACCTCGCAGGTGTGACGCATCAAGATGGTGATTAGACAGCATGATTATTGCACAGGTGTGCCTTAGACTGGCCACAATAAAAGTCCACTCTGAAATGTGCTGTTATGCTTTAAGAAAACCAGTCAGTTTTTGTTGGACCACCGGTTTTCTCACACAGTGYAACACATCTCCTTTATAGAGTTGATCAGGTTGTTGATTGTGGCCTGTGGAATGTTGGKCCACTCCTGACATGAACCTGGTTCTGGTTCTGCTGGAGGTTTCTTCCTGTTARAAGGKTTTTTTCCTCTCCACTGTCACCARTGTGACGCTCAGGATGGGAGACGGTGATTCAATGGAATCTGCTGGCTTCCTTAGATTTATTTATTTTTGTGCAGTGCTCTGAGATGACGTTTGTTATGACTTAAATAAACTGAATTGAATGAAATAAATGAATTGTGAACATTGTGATCACCATAACTGGACTCAAGTTTAACATTTYGCTTGCTGCACTGTTAATTTACCTAAAAAACAGATTTAAAAGCCCATGTCATTTGTTGCTACTTGTTCTCAGGAACCAGGGAGGCAGCGTTTGTCTATGCCCTGTCGTCAGCAACCATCATTCACTCCTTATCACGAGCATGCGGCCTTGGAGAAATAACGGGATGCACGTGCGCAAAACGCCCCGATGAGGCCCCAGGTCCCGACTTTCGCTGGGGTGGTTGTGGTGACAACATGGCCTATGGAACTCCTTTAGGCACCAAGTTTGTTGACGCACCCATGAAGCTGAAACGCTCAGGTTCCCACGCCAACAAACTGATGCATCTACACAACAGTGAAGTTGGAAGACAGGTATGTCTAAAAACAGGAAGAAACACATAAAGATACTGAACCTTGTGCAGTGGGTTAACCTCCATCTCTTTGTTGTCCAGGTACTGAGAAGGTCCGTGGAGTTAAAATGTAAGTGCCATGGCGTTTCTGGATCCTGCTCCGTAAGAACCTGCTGGAAGAGCTTCCAAGACCTCAAAGACATTGCCATGGACCTTAAATCCAGATACCTCTCTGCCACCAAGGTGGTTCACCGACCCATGGGCACACGCAAGCAGCTCGTCCCCAAAGACATTGACATCAGGCCAGTGAGAGACAATGAACTGGTCTACTTGCACAGTTCTCCAGACTTCTGCACCAAGAACGAAAAACTGGGTTCTGTTGGCACACAAGACAGGTGAGACAGCAACTTTTWAAAATTCACTTTGGTTTGTAATTGTTCCCCTGTAAACATGACACATATGTATCATCCACCACTGAAAGCTGAAGGAGGTAAGGGTTTTGCCCRTGTCTACGTTCATGCGTTTGGTAGAAAAACCTTTTACGAACCACTGGAAGAATTATAATGAAATTGCAGAGTAATTATTAGGTGTGTATCTACAACTGATACATACTGTATTTTGAGTCAATGGGCCTCATGCAAGAACCATTCGTACGCACAGATTTGTTCTTAAGTTGTGCGTACGAGTGATTTAGGAG